TTCAGCCTTCTAGCTTCTCAGATCCTCGAGTTATGAACCGACCCCAAAAAAACTTTGGCGGGCCTGCACGCGGGTACCACGCGCGGTTTTGGCGCCAATTTTGTGGATGGGGAGAACTGACCCCAAAAAAACTTTTGGGGCCCGTACGCGGGTACCACGCGGGTTTTGGCGCCAATTTTGGGGATGGGGGCTCGAGGGGGCCCGTACGCGGGTACCACGCGGGTTTTGGCGCCAATTTTGGGGATGGGGGCTCGAACGTGCTCAGATTATGTCCCCAAAGTTTCTACCCCGTAGCTTTTGCCGGTCTCGAGATGAAAAATCGGTACAGACGCGCAGCGCACACACAGACACACACACAAACACACACACACACACACAGACAACCCCTCGTCAATATGCGTTTTTCGCATTGCATTGCTGCAAAAAACGCATAAAAATGACACCTACATCGACTGCCCTGAGTATTGCTGTTATAAATATGATAAACACTAATTTCAGTTCGATGATAACTTTAACGTTTATACTTGTACTTGGATCGCTGGTCGATCGGGCTTACCTGATCTGCGATACAATGATTGCGGAAAAAGTCGCACTAACCGGTTTCCTATTTCTCAATGGTCTGTACGTTTCATCGCTCAGCTCGACGATTGGTACGCTACTTGGCACGCCACGTGTAATCCAGAGTATTGCTTCCGAGGGTATCATACCAGTACTGAATCCACTGGCAGTTGGGGTAGGTTGCTTCAGCAAATCGCAGCAAAAGTTTTAGAATTGTGCATATCATGATTAATATCTCTGTTACACCTGTGAAGCTGAATTAATCGTATTAATCATAAATTGGTCACATACGTTTGTGCCATTTTTCAGTTTGATTACTAACTGAATACTTGAAACAACAGATTTACATTGTAACGCTCGCCAGCGGTGTAGCCATTAGCCGTGCCATTGACTTCAGCCTTCAATTCTCCATACCTACAGTATATCACATATTTAAGCAAAACGGGTTCGGCAGAATGCATCGTTGGCCCTCCAGCTGTTCTTTTAACATTGGAGGCGTCAACACACAAGTGTTTTTTTTCTCCATTGTCAGCTGGTGTTAATTGAATACTGCAATTCTACTTTGTCGTTAATGAGGTGGCGGCTTCTCCATTCTTCTCTATTTGGGCCTCCTTAACTAACCTAATTCAAAAAGTCGTTCTTGCTAATTTTTTTACGGCACTGATGGTTTCTCCTGTGTTATTTTAACAATGAGCTAGTGATATTATCAGACAAATAAACACTAAAATGAGGTACTGGAACTGTAATGTGCCACAGGTGAAAAGCAGCATGTTAACAAGGGTTTTATGAATGGTGTTCACACACTGTTAAACGCACACAGGAAAGGGTACTGACTTGGAAAGACCCGTTTGATTACTTTAATGAAATTATTTGGACAAATGTTGTTTAAAAAAGAGAAGAAAGGAGAAGTTGCCAGCTGCATCAATGGCGAGAAGAAACGCTATGGTGAAACAACATCTGATCAAAGTATGTAATAAGATGCACATCTTGGTGTGTACGTAAGTGAAGTTTTGCAATGCTTCTTACTTCCAGCTAGGCGCCAATAAAACTCCAGTACGAGCAGGCCTTGTAATGACTCTGATTGCGATCATTTCTGTGATTATTGGTAATTTGAACAAGCTGGCAATCCTCTCCACAATGCCATTTCTGATCACCTATGCTTTCGTTAATTACTCCTATGTTTCACTGGCAATGAGTTACGATCTTCAAACGGTCAGCAAAATGAGGTGATTTTATCATAATTTACTAATAAAACGGCAACTATTTATACTTGATCAGCAGCAATTCGTAGCCTGGTTCTTTAGCTATGCAGCTAATAACTTTTGAAGTTGCTTTGACCGGTGCTGCATCGTCTAATGGTCAGTCTGTTGGCGATTAAGAAGATGTGAATTTGCCTTTTTTCAAACTTTTCTGAACTGATTTCTTATTAATCTGCAGCACAGCTGGCATGGAAAAGCGTAGCTACGGTAGCATGGGACACTTGAAGGAAGCCGCTGAGGGTCGTACCGATGCTGATCTGGAGCAGTTATTTCCTGAACGAGCGATGATTGGTTCAGCCGAAAAAAGTAGTGGTAAGTTTGTAATGAAAGACAAAAACACATTTGCTTAGAACTGAAGGGATGAATACGGAATCGTGGGCTTAAAGTGCTTCGTAAGCTGAAATCAAAAATCAAGAGCTAAT